GGGGGGGGAGGCAGTAAAGTATGTGTATTATGTTGGTGACATGGCAACCAAAAATATTCAACACTTCTTCCCAGGATATCAGGTGTCTGAGTCTGATACTACTTGTTAGTTATAGTANATATGCACGCATGCACATACAAAGACATTCATACATATGCATGCATGCACATACAAAGACATTCATACACATTCACATACAAAGACATACATACAAACATACAACTTTTTATAAATAACTCTGTATACCTAATAAGCAAATAACCACCAAACTGTTTACATGTACCATGGGATGTCCTAGTGGTCTTGCCTGTTGTCTGGTGAGCCTCGACAAAATTCCACATTAATGTTTACTGGGTATATAGTTCTGTCCAACTTTATTTCTGAAAATGTTGCATTTTAAAGTGATTTAACTTGTCATTTTACATAAATACAACTTCCAGGTGATTTATTGTATTGTGTGTTAACAGAGTCGGTGGTTTCCTTCCCGGAGCAAGAGTTCCGAGTGGCAGAGAACATCGGGGAAGTTTTAGTTCCTGTCCATCGGACAGGTGATCTCACTAACGAGCTCATGGTCATCTGTGCTACCAATACAGGTAAGCTGTAACATTCGACAGACCACGGTAAAAGTCTCGGATATAAGCTGGTTTTGTGTAATTAAAAAGAAGCAAAAATAAAACTGTAACAATATTGTTAGCACTATAAAACAGTGAAAAAAATACATTGTGCAGTAAAACATGACAAAACCAAGAGGACCTAAAAGACAGCTTGTTCATGAGATAGTTAAATAGAAATGAGCCAAGACATCATAAATGATAGAAACTGTGCCCCTAGTACCAATAATTAATACATTCTATAACCTAGCTGTTTATAACGTGATTACACCATGTTGTTTTATCTCCCTAGGGTCTGCCACGGGTACCCCGCTGACCCCAAATTATCCTGCCATGGAGGTGACATCAGGATCGGACTATATTTCAAGGCCTGTGCACCACTCCAGTATAATCCGGTTTGACCATGGTCAGCGGGAGAAGTTTTGTACATTGACCATCATTGACGATTCTCTGTACGAGATGGAGGAGACCCTAGAGGTCGTACTGATGGACATATTTGGGGGTCGTCTTGGGACGGTCACGAACATGCATGTTGTTATAGAACCGGACCCAGATGATGGTGAGTGTCAAAGTGAGACATACAGTCGTGTAACAGGTGAAATCCTAAAAAAGCTGACATCATTATTGATGAGTGTTAAACCTATGGGCGTAAACCTATGGGTGTAAACCTTATAATGGGTGTAAACCTATTGGTGTGAACCTAATGGGTGTAAACCTATTGGTGTGAACCTAATGGGCGTAAACCTATTGGTGTGAACCTAATGGGCATAAACCTATGGGTGTAAACCTTATAATGGGTGTAAACCTAATGGGTGTAAAAAAGATGGTTGCCTCTTGTTTAACATTTGAAAAGGCGTATGTTTTCAGTCTGAGTTAGGTTAGCTGTTTTTGGTTGTTTCTCTGCATGCTTCTAGAGACTTCAAATTACATCTTGTAAAGCTTCCGGTAACATTTCAGGTCAGATCTGTTGAAGCCTGTGCAATGCTGGTGCGCATTGCTTGATATGCCTTTTGCTATCGAGAGGTAAAACTGTGCATCCTGGGACCATTAATGTGTAAAGTATAAGTTGATCAATATTGGAAATTTCAAATCTTGGTATTGGGTGGAGGAGTAGCATGTCATGGCTTTCAAATATGTTTAAGCCTAATTTCATCTGGAATGGATTCACACAGCGGCAGTGGCTGTGAGAATTGATTATAGCTATAATTTGTACTCCAATTAAATTTCCCCCAATCTAAGGCAGAAGGATTAGCTTGGCAGCAATGCTTGGTGGCATTTCGCCTTTCACAGGGAGATGGCTGGAACACACATGCAAATATATCATGTTACATGCAGAACTGAAGGCTGAGTATGTTTACAATTAAATTGGAAATTAAAGGTATTTTTTGTCTGAAATTGATACAGAATTCTGCAGTAGGAGAAAGACTGGAAACAATTAGTAGGGTTTTTATACGGTGAGGAACATGTTGTACATGGACCTATGGGGGAGGTACACTACTCATAGCAGCTGAGACCACAATCCATCAACACACAGCATCACATCTGTGGTGTCAACCCTACAAATCTTACCTAACTCCATACACAAATATAACACTCTGACTCTTCTCCTGTAATGATGTTCAAAGTATTGTCAGCTTAAAGAGTCATTTATGCAAATGTTCAAAATGCTATTTTTGAGGAATATTTGAAACTTTACAAATTAATTAGTATGTATTAGTATATAATTGTTTGTATTACTTTTTTCAATTGTAATTTGCAATCACCAATAGCATAATAGCTTAATAGCTTAATAGCTTATGTTAAATAGCTTAAGTTTTGAATTACAATATTTTATTTGAGGTATTCAGGATGAAAGATTTGCAGTAATGTGTTGTAAAGCCAGTTAAACTTTTGGCCCTGGACATAGATGCTTGGTACACATGTGTCTGTACCTCACACATATCACCAGCATGTGTCATCACACTTGTCATCATCCCACACATATGTCTGGAGATGG